TGCGTGGAAAACTTGAAAATATTGCCACGCCTAACACACTCTTATCTCTCAGCATTTTAAGGATATCGGAGTTTTATTAGCAAGTATGCATGACACTTTCTCACTTTTGGCTTTTACGGCTCCCCCTAATATCTGTAACGACTCTGGAATTGTTCACAAATGTCAAAAAAATTGCATGCGACTTGGCGAGAACTTTTTGAGAACACGCGCTCTTTTGGTAAACTAAACATAAAATTTAATAAATTCCTTTGATTCTTGAAAGAAAATGTGGCCGAGATTCGGTATTAAAATTGGGAACAGCACCTTGTGCATTGCACACGTTAAGGCGGATGGGAAACCTGAAGTAATTGCGAACAAGCAAGGTGATCGCAATTCGCAAGCATGCCTTCTTTGGGATGGCGAGGAAGAAATCGAATGTGGCTTGACTGCTAAACAAAAAATGGCTACACGTCCGAAGCAAGCTGTAGCCAATAGTTTCCAATTATTAATGCCACGAGACTTGGATGAGGAAAGACTCACAACAGCAGTTAAGGAGCTGCCATGTGATTATGATGCTCTCAGTCATACTTTCCAGTTGAAATGTCAGATACAAGATGATAAAAGCGATGAAGTAAAGGAAAATGTACGAGAATTAACGCCATTCGATGTACAGGTAGCACTCTTTCGGGCGGAACTGGAGCTAGCACGTCAATATCATAACGGTGCTGAAAAAGACCCCATCGTAGTGCTATCGATACCAAGTTATTATCCCAACACTGCTTGGCCGGAATTAGCGCTTGCGGCGAAAGAGGCAGGATTTCATGTAGCGCAGGTTATAACAGAGCCAACTGCTGCAATACTTGCTTACGGTGTAGGCGAGCAAGACGCATCCGAAAGCAATACAAATGGCGATAATGCGGACAAAACGCAATACGTGCTAACTATTAAATGTGGTGGTTTGAACAGTCATTTTGCATTATATGCAGTGAGGGACGGCCTCTACACGCAGTTAGACTCTTATGGACCTTTTCCTATCGGTGGGCAGCATTACACAGATGCGTTAGTGCAATTCATTTGCGAGGAATTTAAGAAAAAACACAAATTAGATCCGCATGAAAGTCGGCGGTCTTTGGCAAAGATACGCAATGCGGCTTCCAACTGCAAGCACATATTAACAACTCTTCCCTCAACCCAAATATATATCGATTCACTAATGGACGGTGTGGACTTCAATGCTCAGATGTCACGGGCACGTTTTGAAAGCCTTATTCAGCCGGTAATTAACAATTTTATGCAGACATTGAATGATTGCGTTGAGCGGGCTACGGCGGAACACAGCGAAGTAAAAGGTATCAACTCAATTGTGCTACTGGGTGCAACAATGCGTATCCCGAAACTGCAATCTGTTATTGCAACAAGATTCCCAGATGCGCAGTTACATTCGACAATTTCTGCGGACGAGGTAGTTGCTATAGGATGTGCACGACAAGCAACTTTCCTTCATGCCCCATTGGAGCAAGACTTACTTGCGACAGAAGAACGAATTTACGTGGAAGAGGACTTGCTGATTTGGCACGGAAATGATGAATCAAACGCGCAAATACTTGTTGGCAAGGGAACATCGCTGCCGCGTAAAGTACAGCTCGAGCTAAAGCAAGCCCAGGGGTCAGAGGGAGGCAGCGTCATCCGTGTGAGAGCTGGTGGAGAAGTTAACGAAGTGCCTTTAGAAGGTGCTACACCCGCAGATAATGGCACCTACCGCATTGAGGCAGATATCGATTGCAAGCAGGTAGGCGCTGAGACCATTCGAAAACCTCAATTGCGGATAAGGGTACTTTAAAAATTTTCAGCATGCTTTAGAAATCATTTATATTAAAATTTGCTTAGTATATTATTTGTGTTATTGAATTGTGGAATTTTATTAAAGAAAACATTTCTTTAATCAAAAAATTTTTTATTCAAATTTCTTTCTGCCCAAGGAAGAAGCAGTCATTTGCCGAATAAAAAATGGCGCTTTTTGCTCAAATGTTTCAACATTAAGTTATATAAAAAAGGTATACATACATACATCTTCCAACACACACTTTTTCATATTAAATTGTACATAGTTTAGATTATGGAAACACTTGTGAATGTCGATTAAAACTCCATTTTCTTATCACTTACATCTATTGCCTTAGCCTTCAAACTAGTTTCTAACTTGCGCAAAAATTCTTCAAACACAACAACTCCTTTAAACATGCTTGTCTTTTTGTAATCTTTAATCCTGCTTTTATCTTCGGGCCCATTTTCTTGGTTCTTTGATTTGTCATCGAAGGCATTAATCTCCTGTAATAACTGTGCAATGTTGGGCACAGTGGTGGGGTCGAATTTCGCAGCTGCATGACAATTAAATGGCACACACACCTTTCCAGTTCCGGGATGAATACAAAACGGTGATTTCAGCAAATGGTTCATACCTTTTGTAACATTAATATCCAAGCGTGGGTAAAGAATTCCCAACTGAATTTCTTCAACAATGTTTTTAAGTTTTCGTGTCCAAATGCTGACTGCGCCCGTTCGCATAGAATTCGCATAACGCACGAACGAAGCCCATACCACACGAGAATGCACACCATCTTCAATTGTTTTCTTTAAATAAACCTCCACATCATTTCGCGCCGTCTCATCTGGAATCATCATCAGCAACTTGGTAATACCCTTAGCATCGCCAAATAAATTCTGATCTTCTAATACAATCTCGTCGAAAAGTGGTTCAACGAACTTCAACGCACGGCGAACACTATGATGCATACGTTCGAAGTTCTGTACGCGCGCTATAACCACACCATTAATTGTTACAGTTGTAGAAATCTGCAGATATTCAGCAACTGCAGAGCGACCTCTCGAATCCAAGTGTCGAGCATCATAGTCGCATACCCAGCCATGTACACCACGTCGTCCAGAAAAGACCCAGAGTATATGCTCGAAACCGAAATCCTCACGTAAGGCAGCATCAAGCAGGCGCGCTGCTAAGGCCATGAACTTCCAGCATTTCAAACAAACTGTTGAGCCAGTGCAACAGGTACGCACTTCATTATAATCATCCATATCAATATCGAAAACCAGCTCGCGCTGCACAGGTTGCATGGCCGTTGATGTGATACGAAAGTTCTTTGGTCTGAAACATTTTTAAATTATATAATAAGACTTTATGTGCGAAAATTAAATCATCGTCGCTTACTTGGTATTCATAACGGGGCCAATGTCAATTTTATGCGGACAAGTTGTGCAGATATCGTTTTCCAACTCACTTTGAGTGTCGTAGCATCGATATCGAATGTAGATATCATCGTGAAGAGTGTATGAAAATTCACGATTGGCGAAGATACCACCTTCAGCTGAAATGATATTCGAGAAAAAATATTTTAGTTGCTAAAAATAATTTCTGCCGTGAGCTAAGATGTACATAGACAAAACAACTTACAAAGTCCATATGACAGCCAACGGTAAAAGGGTTTATGAGGAAACAGGCGCTTGTAGTAGACAGGCAGCATATCCGGGAGTATACTAGGGTCATACTTTGGGATCTTTTCCTCTGCCTTTATGTCCTCAGGCATTTTGGAATATTAATTTGCTGAAATGTTCCAAGAAAGGTATTTAAATTGAAATTAATTAAACAGTAAAATTATTGTTGGTTTTAAACTACATATTAACTGAAGTCCACCTCCCCAAAACAGGTTCAGGCAAAAAAAAAATCGTACTTTCTTGAAAATTCGGTGAAAACGTTTGCTTTTTTACTTTTAAATGTGTGGCTTATTTTGAAATCCGATGTGTCGGATCCAATATGTCGGACAAAACTTAAAAAAAAAATATTGGATTTATGTACATAAAATTTGGTACTCGGGGATTTTTCAATTCAAAATGGCGAATTCAATCAGTATTCGGCTATAACAACTATGTGTCGTCTTAGCCCTATGTGTTAGTGCAGATTATTGTTGAAAGACGCAGTGTTTTCCGTTAAGAAGGGTTTTTTTTGCAATTCTTCACCACGCCTTCGAAGATCTTTAGGGGTCAACTTTTGATAGTTTTTCGCTAAATTCCAAAGAATTGACGTCTTTACGAGATTAGGCGCCGTATTTTTTGCTGCTTAGGATGTTCTAGCTTAGTATTTTCGAATAGTTTTTTTTTCTAAATACTTCTTCCTCCTTAAAAATATTATTTTCATGGCCGTTGCTTGCGAGCCACTACATACAAGTTTCTTGGTAACCACGTATTAGTCGAAACATGATGCATCTGGAAGACATATCCAGCTTTCTATGATTTTCGGCTTCCTTAAGGGATTTCGCACAGCTTTTAACTACATACTACGTGTGTACGGGTAGGTTCAGACGGCGCAGCAGTTGAGCCCAACCGTTGCTAACAAAAAATTAGTGATCGTTATGAGTCTTCTGAACGGCTTGATACATTAGCAGTCAAATTCAACTCTCAAAGGTACACACCAACATGTTGTCTCTAATGAGTTGTCTCAAATGATCAGAAAAATATTACGATTATCTAATACGCAACTGTTCAGTTGATCAGAAGTACACAACAACGCGTTCAGAAGGTGCAATCGCAACAGTTACTGAGCTATGGCGCTTTCTGAACTTGCCCTACCTCTACTTGAGAGAATTCTAAAAAAACGTTCAATGGTAGGTACGAAAAAAATGCCCCTGTATATACCGATTTTTTAACAACGTGAATCACACAGGTTCAGCAATTCACTTCCGAGTGAATTTGAGTCGGATTCGGGTAGAATAGGAAGTGAATTGCAGAAACAGCCTGAATATCTGGCGCGCACTTGTTTTGCACCTCTGCAATGTAATCACCGCTATCCAATTTGCTTGTCGCCTCACTCCCTTAAGCAGGTGAAATTTCCAGCCAAACTGATTTAAATATATAGTATTGTTCGCGTATACTTCCAGTAAATATTATCCAGCAGCAAAACTTCAACGAATTGCCATATCTTCTCTCCCACAGAGAGAAATATCAAAAAAGTACAAACCGCTGATCTAAATGTTGTTTACATCCAAAAGTACGAAGCAGAAAATAGGTTTGTTCGTCGAGCAAAAAATTTGTACGAATTATCACAATTTTTGCCCAAATCGCGTTCGTGCAGACCAAAAAATTATCCAACACTCAAAAATTGTGAGAGCAAAGTGACAGTTCTCTTGGAGAGAAGTTGCAAATTCTTGCTGGAAAAAATTTTGCCAGCAAGAATTTGCAAACACGAAAAACATGTGGTGGTGGCGCATGGTTGCATTTTTGTCTACAATAATTTGAATAAATTAGTTCGTTAAGTTTAAAAATTTATAAACACGAGCGATTTTTTAAAGAAAAAAAGAAGTAAATAATTGTTGATATAATTAATTTAGTTAATTCCAATGATTTGAACTTAATTCGGCTGAAAAAAATGGTATTCGCAATCGGAATGCAATTGCAACCAGAGTCGATTTAAGAAACCCGACAGCTAGTACGATGAAGATATTGAAATGTATGTTAAAGAAAGTCAGAACAACAAGAAATATACTTGTATATCCTGTTTTTGGCCATCCGAAAGAATTTTAAAAATTCTATAAAAATTGTTTATGTTTGAAATGCAACCGTGGACGCCAGCTGGCAGCGAAACTTGCAAATTCCTGCAAATTTGCGTTCGTGCAGAAATTTGCAAGTTTCTCAACATGAGAGAGAATTTGAGAGAATTTTTTCTTACTCTCTGATATTTTGAGTGTTGGATAATTCTTGCTGGATTTTCGACGAACAAACCTAATATAAGATAAATATGTGTATATTTATGTAGATTTCCAAGAGCACTTTGTACTTAACGCAAAGCTAAGGAAAACGAGTTTAAGTTACTTGAGATCATGAAATGAAAATACACGGTTCTTGGAGTTGTTATCGTTATTATTTTATTTATATTTTTATTACTTTTTTTACTTAAATATATTTAATTTTTTATTACTTTTTAATAAATTTTTTACTTTTTTTTACATTATATTATTTTTATCTAACGGAATAAAAATGTGCAAGTACAATTAATGTAATAAAGTAGAAACTTTAGAAACTCAATGCAGTTATTAATAAAAACGTAAACACTCTATAACAGCCCAGTCATGTTAGCTCCATAAATAGGGATAAGCTTACAATATTTCGCATAAAGCTGAAAATTGGAACGAGTGTTGCGAACACAATTATGAATGAAATGTCAAAAATCCCCATCGATCACACGTCTGGAGGTGATGGAAGCGGTTTGAATTAAAAGTAGTTAGAGAAAACTATTCGTCTAATTGATAATTACACTAGTTTAAAAGAAATCCCACCTGTGGCACTACACCAACCTTAGGAAGAAAAATGTTATAACAGTTTGTATAGATAAGACTTTCGACTCACCTATTTTTATGATAAACCCTACCGTTTGGCTGAAAAATGTGAAAAAGGCAATTTATTTAGCCTTTGACCTTGAATAATTTTTTTGCAGACGTGAAATCGATGGGGACTTTTGACATTTCATTCAAAATGGTGTTCGCAACACTCGTACCAATTTTCAGCTTTATGCGAATTATTGTAACCTTGAATGTCTAACTTGACCGGGCTATAAGTGCTCGCTGCAGTGACTACTCAGCCAAACAGCAAGCATTTTACATGTCAAAATGCTGTATATACAGTATCTAGTCATCGAATTATGACCGATAGATTTTTTAATAAATATCTAGTTTTCATTCGAAATTTTCTTGTTTGGTGTGAAATTTTGCAGAGTTTGTTAATTTATTACTTTATGCAAAAATTTTAGAAAGTCTGCAAAGTTGCATCTAAATTTTCAACTCTTTAATCAGAGTTTACAAAAACTTTTTGAATACGCAGTTTTATAGCCCATTAAATTCTAGTACAATGAAGTGCAAATTTAAAGTTGCTATCGCGTTTTTTTTTTTGGAAATCTGATTTAAAAGTTGAAAATTTAGATGCATCTTTGCAGATTGTTTATCATTTTCGCACAAATTATGAAATTTCAAAATTCTGCAAAATTTCAAACCAAATAACACAAATTTGGAGTGAAAACTATAAATTTGTTAAAAAAAAAAAATCTATCGGTTATAATTTGGTGAATAGATACTGTATTTACGTAAGTTAAGATAGACTATTTCATATGTATATGTATAAGCATGTATTTATGTAAACTTATATACTATTTTTCCAAACGGTGATTTATCTTAACCAGAGATCGCAAATAACAACAACTGTTCTAGTATGTCCATAATGCAAATGATTTAAAGAGATAAATAGCAGTGTTAGTTTTAATAGTAACTGGCAAAGGAGCGCTGTTATGGTATTCCTTGGTGAGAAACTTGCATATTCGGGGAAAACACGATTCGAAAAACCTTTTCATTTTATTTTACTGACTTTAATTGGTATAGCAGTTTTTTGGAATAAACCTTTTCACAAAACATTGAATTTTTTAACGCAAAAACGGTTTTGCGTAACCGAACTTAACTATTTGCCTCAGCGAATGGCAATCAAAAAGTGATCACATCCCATTATTAAATTTCACCAGAAGAAATATGTTCAACTGTGTGCAGATAATCAGAAACAATTTGTTTTGATAATTTATAAAAAAAAAAAAAAAATACGTAGAAAAAAATCGGGTATGTAATTTTAAAATTATAGGCCATTCAATTTTATTACATAATTGTGCACGTTTAAAGCGGCACAAAAATCTCACCGATATTTGAGTTTTTTTTTTTTTGTTTTGCTGACGATGTTACACATTTTCTTTAATACAAACTAAGTATATTTGAAAAATTTTTTATATGGAATAAAATTTGCAAAAAAAAAAGAAAAATCAAAGAGATTTTTGTGCTGTTTCAAACTCGCCCAATATGGTACTAAAATTGAATGGGCTATACTTACGGTGACCAACCGTCCTGTATTATACGGGACAGTCCTCTTATTTGACCAATTGTCCTGGCAATTAATTTATTTTATACGGGACGCCTAGTTTCTACTCTGAATGCCTGTGCTTCGAATCGAGGAACACATACAGTGATCAAAATATGAATTAGGATTCTACATTTTAGCAAGGTTCTGCTGTTTTTCTTTTGTTTACAACTTTTTTTTTTTAACTTAAGTTCTTTTCCTAACGAAAACCATATAAATCCAAATTTCCGACTTTGTGCAAAAGCTATGAGAATTAATTCTGCAAATTTTCACCAAAATTTCAACTTTTTAATCAGAACCTTTAGAAAAAAAAATTTGGTTGCAGTTTTGTAGCTCATTAAAATTGAGTATAATAAAGTGCAAGTGCAACGTGCAGCTCATTTGCTTCCCTATCAACAAATTGCCAAACATACTTTGTATGAAAAAAATGCGTAGCGCCGTCGACAAAAAAAAAATTCCAAAAATTAACGGTAAGTCCCAGCTACTTAAAACTTCACTTTATTGTACTAAAATTTAACGAAACTTTTGTAAACAATTTTGTGGAGTAAAATTCTCCAGAAAGATATCCTACAAATTTGTGATGTTACTATAAGGACGCTGTTCCGGGCTAATACATACTTCTAAGATCATTAAAGAAGGTGTTAAGATCTGTTAGCTTTTATGGAAACAATTAGCAAAATTATGTTTTGTCACGTATTCGGCTCGCATAAATATGGTCACTTTAGCTATAATATAAAACTGCACATCCGATTTTTTTTTTTTTTGAAATACCGATTGAAAAGGTTGCAATTTTGATGACCATTTTTTGAAAATAGTTGGATTTTTTTTTTAATTTTGTACAAGGTATGAAACCTTGGCTTATATGGTTTTCGTTGTAGCATAATCTATACATACTTTCGTAAAAAAATAAATTAAAATTAATTAAGAACAAATTTATTGTCAATAAAGACAAATTGTTTCTGATTATCTGTACGCAGGTGTATATAATTTCATATCAAAAATTATAACTTAGAAAAAAAAAAACAAAGGAATGCGTAGTATTGCACAGTGAGAAACTTTGTCCATTAACAACATATGCAAGCATGTGAAACAGAAATTTTGTCGGTTAACCGGTATTTGCGATCTCTGAATTTAATTCTACTCTTGTTACGTAAACATTTACTTATATATTATTATGTATGTATGTATGGTTTATTAACACATATTCAATGTCTTCAAACTTTTAAACGATTTTAGCCGATAAGCGTTCAATAGTAAATAAAATTGTTTAATAATTGATGTAAAATGGAACAATTATACATATATACTACATGCATATGTATAGCCATGATCGCGCTGCGGACCACAGTCAATTAGGCAACATTAGAGCGACTTTAAGGCAAAGGAAGAAAGCAATAATAATAAACAACAAATTATAGGCTTTGGATCCAAATAAAAACTCCCATGTGTACAAAATCACAGAAATATTTACATACATATGCATATTTAAGTGATGTGAATAAAAACCATCTATTTTGGCTGTACTTTTACACATTATGTTTTTTTTTTTTTTTCAAAACTATACATCTTTTGCCAATTGCTTCTTCCCCAACGTCCTATCGCTGGCAATGCTTGTTGGTAAATAAAAATTTAAATAGGTATGCTAAAAAGTAAAATTTGCTACATAATGTTTACAGTGACCACTTATTTTCAGTTATACATTTCTATTATCTGTTGGCTTATAAATATCTTTTCAAAAATAACATATTTTGAACTGAACTCATTTAAGATTCTTTACGAGTTTAAATCGCTTCGTTTTTAGACAAAGACTGATGTTCAATCGTTGTTGTGTTTTCTCACGCAACTGTTAAACGAATGTCCTGCATTTTGTGCTGCTGATAAGAAGACTGTTCGATTTGCTTTGTCGGTGGAATCGTGCTATACAAAGTGACCGAGGCGATATGGTTGTTTGTCATCACCTCGAATATAACATCTTGATAACCGTAGCAGAAGGTTGCACCGAATGGATTGGCAGTGTTTGTTGAGCTGGCGCGATGGAGCACCACCGGACGAGCCGATGGCACTACCGCACTTATCTCGTCCCACTTAGCATATGCAGTAACTTCTATATCATCGGTTATATTCCGATCGCAATTAATATCTAATCCATTATCAGAATTCAAACTAAACTTAAATTCACAACGATGGTACATATTAAAGTTGAAATGTCCCGGATAGTTTGTGTGCAAAACAAATTTCTTGCAAGTTTGTGTTCGAGCATCAAACAGTACGTCTATTCCAAGCGTGAAATAGTTGAAAAATGTGTCACTGCGCTTACTCTGTGCTTGTCGATTTACACTCGACGAATGTATTTTCATTTTATCTTCGCTCTTAAAAAAGATCCGGTTAGGCGCGCCCAGTTTCTGGGCTACATCTTGACAACTGTCACCAAAGAGTATTTCTCTTGTAAAACACTGCCGCCGCTGTTCCATCGCGCGACTGGAGCCCTCGGTGAAGAGCTTCAGTTTTAGACCCTTGGTATAACCATTTGCCGTGCGCAAGACAGTTACTGAATCTAGATAGATTTGCCGATGGTAACAAGAGAGTGGAAGCGGAGGAGCCCGTGTCTCAGAAACGTTACTACCGGAGTAGAGTGACATTTTCGAAACCACAGGCGATGCTCCACTTAAGAAAATCAGAGATCCTAAGCCATGTGCGTATCCTTCTTGTAACTTGCTATCAACGGGGAAGAAGAAGCTCAAGCCACGAAAGTGCAACGCAAATAGTTGTTTCGCTGCATCGTATACTCCTGGGTGAGTAGCTCCAAAGGAATGCTCAATTTGTTCAATGGAAGGCAGCACCTCGGGGGAATTGAAGTGTACTCCACCGTACTTCAGTTTTACCAACTTCATATTGAATACTTCAATGGTCTTTAAACGTTGTACAACGGGATCGAAAATCAAGCGAACACCATCTTGCGGCAAGTTTATTATGATATCCACACCAAGAGGGTTCGTATCAGAGTAGAGTACTTGCACACCTTTAATAATTCCCACCTGAGATTGTATGATCGCTATTGCTTGCGAAAAGTGCATGCCCAAGACAAATTCCCAAGCATCACACCCAAGCGACAACTCTGGTACGATTTCCAAATCCAACATTTTAAGACTGCAGGTGTTGGAACTTTGCAATGGTGCACACTAATTTGTTGTCTAAAGTCCTGGATTTGGCAAATGAGATCAATACAGTTGAAAATTTGTATGGTCCCCGACACTGGCACGCCTAAAAGTTTTTCATTTACTTTGTGTCCAAAAGAAGCTCCTTTGCCCCTGAACTTCGTTTCTTCAAACCAATTTTTTATTTATTATTTTTTTTTTTGTTACTTTGTGCGTTTGTGTATCGTTTATAATTTCTCGCGTCGCAAACTGAAACGCAAAATATATTTTAGAAAATCCCTTCGATAGAAATGAAAGTCAGATGTTTGGGTCTTACTTGTACACTGTTATCAGTAATATGGTTTGATTATAAAAATAAAACTCTTTGAATCAAGGTAAATAAAAGTAAAAATAAATCCAGTTTCTCGATTCGACGTAATACACACAAATCCACACAAAGCACCAAGCAAAAAAGTTTTGCGATTAAAGTGAAAACAAAGACAACAGCTGAGCAGAACATGGTTGCATTCTCGTCAAAAAATTAATGACACGACATTTAATTTATAAACATTTTATATGTCCCGGTTGATATCTGTTTAATGTTTTATTCATCAGGCTATATGATTTTAGTTGTCTCGACAAGAACGCATTTTTAAAGAAATTTTTAAATTAATTTAATGTAAATTAATTTAATGGTAAAATGAAAACTGAGTTCTCAAACTAAGAAATGACAGCTGATGTTAAGACGGCGATGGCAAGAAATTCGGCAAGATAGATATGGCTTAGCAGTGAAAAATTACGGCCTTCACGCTCACATTTCTGCCTGCAGAAGGTGCAGACGTGGGGTAGGCGTTACTTGCTGTCTCCATAATGGGGAATTTTCATGGGGCGATTTTTTAGGCAACTTTTACTTGAAAACAACAATCGTCTGGTGTAAAGTCTTTCAACTAATCGCTTTTAATGAAATTGGTCGGCTGCCTACTTTCGTTCAACTTTTGATTGAACAAATCGCCTGTGAAAGTTGAGTCATGTAAATTCCCCATTATGGAGCATACCGCACTAAGGACCAGTTTTTCAGTGCACGGCCGTGGTTTGACCTCAGTTTACAGTTCAAAACATAAATAAAATGGCTCCTCGACGAGTATGGTCGTGCTGACCTGTCGAGTTTTTAGAAAGCAAATATTAGATTAAAATACACACCAAAATGATGTCGTTTCATTTAAATTAACATACAACTTAAAATTAAGCTTCATTAAATATAACTGAAAGTTTTGAATCAATGGGAGATAATACTATTAAATAAAAATTACATAGGCAAAGTAATACACGTGGACATAAAGAAATAAAATTGCGATTAAATGGAAATGTTAAAGCGTACCGTTGAAACCATGATAAAAATATAGTAAGGTAGAACCGCTGAGAGTTACGTTTAAAATTCTTGACGTTTCCAAACAATTTAATTTTTAAATTTGCTCACAGACTCACATACACATTTTCATTTTCAATCTCAAGCAAAAACAATTTCGAACAATTTCAATTTTTTATTTTCAATTTTATGATTTTAAAATGCTGGCAAAAAAATCATGGCCGACAAATTGGGAGAACGGTTCTACCTTGCAATGTTTTTATCAAGGTTTAAACGGTACTATCGTATGAACAATTTAACTGTATGAACAAGTGAACTAAGAAAAATTTATTACCATAACAGTTTTATGAAGCGAAACAAGAAAGTGAGTGTGAAAATGTATCGATTTTTCGTTACGATATTTTGGAAAAATTACATTTTTATTAAATAATCTCATCTTTGATCATCCGTTTATATAATTTTTACTTTCATTGCATGTTTATGCAAAAGAATAAGGTATAAGTTTCTTGTTAATTGTGTGAAACAGCCAGAACTACCGCAATGATGTGAAGTCAATGTTTATCGAAAGCATGCGGTGAAACATACAAACACATATCTAATTGTTATGCACTAATTTGCTTTAAAAGAACAAGCATGAAATTTACCTATTATTTGAGCATTTATATACATATGTAAATCATTCCAATTATAAAATTGTGATGTAGCCTTATTCGAATTGTAATACGCATTTAATTTCATCTTCCAATTCAAATTGGTGATCCATTTCCTTTGTAAATTTCAATTGGAGATCATTCAATATTATCAAAATCACGCTCTGCCAACTTAATTTTTACATATTTCGTCTTTTCTTCCTTAATTTAATAAAATAATTCTTCCTAGTTACGACTTAATTGGAGCTGCAGCCGAAACTAAATTTTAAGTTGGTACTTAAGTATGCGAGAAAAAGCATGCTTCGTACTTTTTGCGGTCTACACGTGCGGTTTCTTGCATGCGTCACGCGAGCGAGATTTTCCAGCACGTGAAGACGGCCGGTTAGTGCGGTCGTGCCTTAAAGCTGATGCCAGATAAAACTTTGTAGATTTGCGTGACATTTATAACTTTGCCAGCAAAGCGCCAGACGCAAAAGGTATGCCACAATGAACGCCAAGAAAACAATGTTGTACCGCTTTTTTACTCATCAAAGTTGCTGTGGATTTTAATTATTTTGATTTAAAATTATCAGCAATGTAATTAAGTTTTATGTTTCTGCATGAAAACCCGAATTTGGACGAAACAAAATAAATATTAAACCGGCTGATTGCCAAAGCGCGCAAAAAGATGGGAGTTGACCATCTTTTCGCTTCGCGCTGCCGCTTCAACGATTTATGTGGCATGCTTTGTGCATTTTCATACAATTCATCTTATCTGTCAAAGCGAATCTGTCACGTAAAGCGAAGCAAAAGTTTTATGTGACATCAGCTTAAGTGTACAGGAATACCTCTACTAACAACTTTTATAAATGAAACTAGATGGCAGCACAGAAAGGCGTTCTTTTTGGCGCGACACTTTTTGCTATTTTCACATACTTTGGAACAAATGTGTAATGGTAATACTCACGATGTTAGCTGAAGTAAACCCCAATATTTTTACCCGATTCTTATCTAATCTCGCCCGATTTAACTTAGCTAATTTGAATGAAACACAAATCGAAATATAAATTTACTAGCAAAAATGAGGGAGCCTCGCGAAGCAACACCGGACACTTGTGAAAACAAACAAAATTGACAACAGGGTTGCACGAACTATTTGGTAGCATTGATATATGTAATGAATACTCATGAAACGAACTATGAGAGTTGATTTCATTTGATATAAATGTGTCAACACAAAACGAATAATAATTTAGTTAACGCAAATTAATGAAGCTTAGTCAATTTTCCATAAACTCCTTTTGTTTTAATTCAAAATCGTACTCTTAATTGAATAACAAAGAAGTTTTTGAAATCTCTTCCCCAACTGAACTCACCTTTTCACATTTCCCCACACAAGATAATTGAACACACCCAAACTGCCATATTTTCCACCTTCACAATTTGTTAATAAAAAAGCCGAGTTTTGCATAGATTTTAAGCTTTCCCTGCAGAAAAGTGAAAAAAATTGGAATAATATTATGTCTAGACAAGCTTCACGTTTCGATGCTAAAAAAGTGGTAAGTTTCTGATGTGCCACAATTTTTATATACTGATAGCGGGTAGTCACTGTCGAAGGTTCGCTTAATTTCCATTCGATTTTGCAGTAATTAAATGAGAAGCCAAAATTGATTTTACGTCCCAAGCTAGCAATAAAGTTGCATGGATATAAATAACATCTCGTCTATCATTAAACAACAGAAGCCCACTGGAGCTGTCACTGTTGTCACTCAAAACAAGAAAAACTTGCAAGACCAGCAAAAAATACAATTGATCCCTATGATGACCGCAGGTGGGACGCAAATTATTATCGGGCAATTGCCACAACAGCAGCCACAGGCTACAGGAACGTCGCAAGCCACGACAACCGGACTTATACCCCTTCAGGCAAATCAAATTATGTTGCAACAGCCCCAACAAACAGCACAGCCAATGCAGCTACTTCAATTGCCCGATGGTCAAACACTATTTTATCAACCAGCAGCAACATCATTGACCCTTGATCCAAATGCGACAACTGCACAAGCTACGCCACAGCCGCAACTTATTAACATAAACGGCCAATTAATGCAAATAGCGACAACTCACCCGCAGGGCACTACTAATAATAATACTGTAGGCCAGCAAATTATTATGGTCCCACAAGCTGGTACCACAACTGTGACTGTTCCGCAAACTGCCACATCGGTATCAGCACAGCAAACAACTTCTGCCTCTGCCGCAAATACCAATACAAATGATGTGCAAGCGGAAGATGACTCTAGTAAGGGAGAATCTGAAGAGGAGCCTCTTTATGTTAACGCAAAACAGTACAAACGGATACTGATAAGGCGACAAGCTCGAGCTAAACTTGAATCTCGTATACCGAAGGAACGCTCTAAATATTTGCACGAATCGCGTCACCGTCATGCAATGAATCGCGTACGAGGCGAGGGTGGACGATTCCATTCGGCCCAAATAAAGAGTGACTTAGGTGGATCTGGTTCTGGTAATTGCGAATCACAAATGCAATCTGTGCCGACACGTGCAACTATACGTGCCCCACCAAAGTTAATCGCACCACATCAAACTCCAATTCCAGCACCTACCCCTAGTATAACCATCACTCCAATAAAGTAAAAACATGGGCAGCACAAAACCAATTATACCAGTTAAAAAACTTTAGTTTTAGAAATACATATATTGAGATTAGGATCTACTTTAATAATGATTTGTATGTAAAATAAGTATGTATGTACCTAGATGACGACTATCCGCTATCCATATTACGCGCCGTTAGTACTACTAATATTTTATTATCTGCAGAATGCTGAGTTCTTAACGCTCACCTATGGTGCGCTTGTAACTCAAATGCTGCGAGATTTCGAGAATGTTGAAGATGTAAATAAACAACTTGAACGTATAGGCTATAATATGGGCATGCGTCTAATAGAAGATTTCTTGGCACGAACATCAGCACCTCGCTGCTTAGAAATGCGCGAAACAGCGGATCGCATACAACAGGCGTTTCGCATGTACTTAAATGTGCAACCGACTATTTCTAACTGGTCTGCATCTTCGGATGAGTTTTCGTTAGTTTTTGAAACAAATCCTCTAACGGAATTCGTTGAATTGCCCCAGGATTTGACCAACTTGCGTTACAGTTCCATACTCAGTGGCTGCATACGCGGTGCATTGGAGATGGTGCAACTGGACGTGCAGTGCTGGTTTGTTCAGGTATATGACGGATGGTATAGATGACATTCATTCATACACACAATTTAATTTAAGGCAATGTAAAACAAAAAAATATTAAATTAATAATTAATTTCAATATTTGAGATGATGTTTAAAATAATTAAAGAATGTTAGATGCATGCATACCCTTGCTTGCAACTTTAAAGCTAAAAGCTAATTTTTAAGCTAAATCTTTAATTTAAATATCACCTTTTACTCTTGTTCACGACAGGATCAACTAAAGGGTGACAATGTGACAGAGCTTCGAATTAAGTTTGTACGCCGCCTGGAAGATGCTATACCTGCTGGTGAGGACTAAAAGAAACGGTAGCGCCTAAGCTTTGAGTATTTTTTATATTAAGTTATTCATAAAAATTTAGTAGCATTCCTGCCTTTCATATTGCTGCGCGAAATGTTAAGAAGATATCGATTGTTCGCGGTTTATTAAAAATATTGACATATTTACATATTGATAAAATAAATTTTTGGTGGACCAACAAGAACTTATCTCTTTGATTAAAAATAGTCCGAATGGTTATATTCATAGCACTCATTATCAATTCTCGCTTGGCCACGAAAATTGGATACATCATTTATCTTGTTTGGTTTTCATAAGTAATTTTATAAATTGTCTACTTGTTCGAGATTGGCGTTATAACCGCTTGAACGATTTTGGCCGATTTCAGCATGGCATGACAGTCGTGTCTCTTCTGTGCCAAATGGGTTATGTTTATTGATTGAATCAGATCTTTGGAAATTATATCCTATTATAGACGACGGCCGCTGAGGTAAGAAGTTAGAGGTGCGTACTACCATTCCATAGGACCTGGGTTCAATCCTTGGTCCAGCAACATGTAAATTGGAAAAACCGTTTTCTAACAGCCATGCATGGCAAACCTCCGAGTGTATTTCCGCGACGAAAAACCTTCTCATAAAATCCATTTGCCGTTCGGAAGCGGCATAAAACTGTAAGACCCTTCATTATTGTAACGACATTAATAGGCACATCAGAAATCGGAGATTTATTTTTATTATTATAGATGTACGTGTGTATGTGTTAAAATGGTTTCAGATTTCTATTCAGTTCAATGCGTTAACGCGAGTTGAAAAATTTGAAGTCACCCATTAGGGCGCTTGCAGCCACGATTATGCTTGCAGCTTTCACACCCTGCTATACGTATACGTATATACGTAGCGTAAGCCCAGAAATTAAAACATTTTATTGAAATTGTATTCTTTTTATTAAAAGCAAATATTTCAACAAATTACAAAGCGATTCACTATTAGATATATTAATACAAAATACAGGCACTATTTTTTTGTTGGCTTTTTCCTTAAAACTAGAAACGAAAAAAATAAAACACTCAAGTACTTTGGCTTATAAGATGCATTGATACATACCAATTATTATTATTATAAAATATGTATAACACATCGTTAAAACTGCAATACCAGATGGCAGAGGGCACAATACATATAAGTGGCGAATATATGTATGCATGTATGTATATTTTCTAACATTTCGTTTTTATTAAAACACAAAGCAAAGATTTAAAATTTAGTTTTTACCCATTTCTTTTGTCTTAAATGTAATTGTACATAATTATGGCATTTGGAGACATATGTATATGTATGATGTAGGTGTCCACAATTGAATCGGTTCGATATGAAAATTTTGATGCAGTTCGGTGCATAAAATTTGCCATATCAGTAGAATGCTGACTTATTCCCTTTGGTAATTAACCGATTCAATTATAAATTTGTCATCTGCGATATGTATGCATGTGTGTATATTCATACATACATATGTATGTAGACAATCAAGCCAATTTATATGGAAATTAGCTAATCCATTAATTTGAATAATAAAACACAAAGACTTTGATTTTTTACTTTAAACATGATTTTAAAATACAGCAATCACGTAACTGCATTTTTTTATAATTGAAAGCAGCCTTTTGTCAAATAATTTGTGCATATTGAAATGCGTATGTTATTATAAATGAATGGTTTAAAATTGTATAAATTTGAATATAAAAATCTTGTAGACATTTAATAAAATATGCCAACACGAATATAAAATTAATGGGCGAGTGCAAATCTTAAACTTAGGAACGAACTTAAACCACCAACACAATAATCAGGCAGGTTCTGCAATTCACTTCCGAGAGAATTTTAACCAAAGCCACTCTGAATTAAAATTGAATGGGGTTGAAATTCACTCAGAAGTGAATTACAGAACCTGTCTGCTATTTTTATGTATTTGGGGAAAAGGGTTAAATAAGCAGGTTCATGAATTTTTTCTGGGTTACGATCAAACTTTTTTCAAGTTTCATAATGTAGCTTTTTAACCGACTTCAAAAAAAGGAGGAAATTATCAATTTGGACCGCGCTAACCGATTTCTATAACTTATTTTAAAGGAAAGATGGTACCTCAAAGGTGATCCCATACTTCTTTGGTTTAGATCCGATCATTGGATCATGAAGAAATTAACGGCAATCTTAAATTTGTATATGGGAATCGAAGTCGGGTTTTGTTTTTTGCTTAAATATTACCTGTTTCATTCAGCTATTGTTTTTAGTTTTCAATCATGTTATTTTTTTTTACTTGTAAATACTCTGTTAAACAGTATAAAAGTTACAGTAAGTCGGTTAAAATAACTTGTATTTAAAAGCAAATTTTCTTTGGCGTTGTTGGGTAGGTTATTTAGCATTTTTATAGATTTAATAATGCTTGATTGTCCTTCGTCCCTGCCGATTTTTAATTCTGGCTTTGCGGGCACACCATTAAATTCAAATTTTTTCGCGTCAACACACGACGCAATGCCTGCAGAGTTTTTGTACAAATTACGACACAACAGCCATTAGCAACACCCTCAGCCGGGCTTTTACATGTGCAGGAAGCACTCTTAAGGGATTTTGGCGGTGGTGCTTTCTTGCTGGTATGAGCAGGATCGGACGTATTTGTCTTATTAGCGCAGCAATTACTATTATTGCTGCCAGTTGAAGCCGTTTGGTTTGTCGCATTAGCTGTACCACATCCTCCTGTTGTGCTCTTATCACCACCGCAGCAGCCGCCGCCGCCGCCGCTCCCAGTGCCGCTACCCATGGCAGCTAAGTTCTGCAACAGCAAGGCCACATCTTCAATATTTTGATTGATATCAGTTTCGCGCTTCGTCGCTGCGCGCTCTTTCTTATCGTTACAAGAGTCCTTGCCGCGGTAGACACTTTTCGGTTTGACATGCGGGCCCATCTCCACCTTTTGCGTTCGCATCTGCTGCTTATGGTGCTGACAGCATTTATGCGTGCCATTTCCTTTTTTGCCGCATGGCGCGTCATTGCTGCAGCCACCTTGACAATCCTGCGTTTGGTCGCATTTGCAATTCGTACAGCCACAAATGCCAGCATCTGCGGTTATTTGCTTCAAAGTAGGCTTGTCGCTCCTTAGATCGACCTCTATTAGGCCCGATGCATCTTCAGGCACTTGCTTTGCCTGTTGTAAGGTCTCCTGCAGCAGACGTGTATTGTTATCGATGGTCATTAATATTTCATTTAAAAGTGATTCCGTTTCCATGTCTTCTTCATCATTATTGTATTGTGTGTCCTCTTTCAAAAGTTCTTCAATACTCGCCTGAGTCGGCATCATATCCATCGGCTGGTCCACTGATATGAGCGGTGCAGCGATCGCAGCTCCAACTCCACTTGCCGTCTGCGTTGTTGCAATAATGCTATTATTAGCATCTATGTCCATTTGTGTATCCGGCATTGCTGGCATTTGATTTGTTGGTGCATTAGGTAAATCTGTTGCTGCTGATTTGTATGTACCGCAATGATCGCTGATGCCCAAATAATCGCAAGGATCGGTAGATTCTGACAAATTCGACATACCACTATCTATCATCGTTGCAGTATTGCTTATAATCGCAACTTCTGCCTTCCCATAGTTGCCGTAGTTTTGCTGTAAATCGACAAAGCTCGGCACCACAGTGGGTAGAGCTACGCATGCGTTGGTTACCGGTGCCATTGGCACGATTGGTTTCGAAATCAGCACACCAGCATCCACCCACGGTGCGGATATTTCTTCCTCAGCAGCAAATGCCAACTGCAGCGCATGCGATGTTTCCGGCAAAGATATTGATTCAATTTTCGGAGCTGGAGTAGTTGGCGTTGAATTCCGCACCACTGGCAATTCCACAGAAAATGGATCCGTGGCGTTTAATTCAACCGACTCCGACTTGATTAAGCTATCGCTGCTGAGCGATGGTAAACTTCCATCACTTGTTGGATTATTCATGCGAGACGAACTGTCCTCTCTTTCCTCTTCTCCGTTCGAGGTGTGCTCCTCATTGTAGCCGCTGCTATCACTTTCCACTTTAATTGCTCTTTTTCCTTCAGTATTTTCCTTTAAGGTCGCTTGTTTACGCTCCTTTTTCATCTTCAAGCGACGCTCCTTATTGTTCACCGAGTTACCCGGTTGACGTCTACCGCGTTGTTTCTGATGTGTTTTCTTGTGCGATTTTAAGCTGTGCGAAGTGCTGAAAGACTTCTGACAACTGGTCTCCTCACATGGGTATGGTCGTTCGCCGGTATGTGTGCGAATATGTGTTTTTAGGTGATGTGAAGCGGTAAAAGCCTTGCCACAAGTGTCTTCGGGACATTTATAGGGTCGTTCTTGGGTATGGGTGCGCATATGCTTCTTCAAGTCGCTCAATGTGGTAAAGCATTTTTGACAAATTTCACAATTGAATGTTTCGCCGTTATGTAGTCGCAAGTGAGCTTGCAACCTGTATTGGGTAAAATATTTGGTAGTTATTTACTTATTTTAAAGATATCAATGAATGCTATCTTCTAGTATAAAGTTTTAGTTAGACATGTGTGCAAACTATGTATGTACAGTGGCTCAAAAAAGTTACCGCGTGTTGATTTTTTTTTTTTAATATTTATAATGCTTTTGGAGTTAAATTTTGTTTGTTATATTTCTATAAAAAATATTGTCGCAAGCTTTAACCATTGGCTGGCTGTAAAACTACATACCCAAAAATAGTCTAATGATTCAGATTAAAATGTTGAAATTTCGTTAAAAATTTGTTGGTTTTTCCTAAATTTTATATAAAGTTTAAAACCGTGGTTTATATGGTTTTGGTTTAAGCTTGGACATAATTTTTATAGAAAAATAAAAACATTTATAAAAAATCAACACGTGTTAACTTGTTTTAGTAACTGTATATAGGTAGGTCAATTAAATTTACAGGATGTAAATGTAAATATGGGAGTTTTTTGTAATTGATGAAATTGACTTCTCCAATATTAAATTGGCTCCTACCTGTAGCGCGTATTGAAAGCCTTTTCACAACCCGTTATTTCGCATTCGTAGGGTTTCACTTTGGTATGCACCCGAATGTGTATCTTTAAGCTGTACGATGTTAGAAAAGCTTTGCCACAACTTTCTTCAGTACATTTGAAGCGATATTCACCTGTGTGCGTTCAAAAAATTAATAATTTTATTGCATAAGCGAGCAACGCAAAACATACATAAATAAAAACTCGTTTGCTAAGAACCAGCCAAATTCAAAATGATTTGTAACTACATAACTTCTAGCGGACCTTATACATTACTTTATATTACTTATAAAATTTGCAATTTCTAATTTATAAGAAAACAGACTGATATGTGTCTTGGCCAACTAAAAAAAAAAATCCACCATGTGCTCCCAAAAACGGTCGCCGTAGCCTCTCCAGTCGTTGAAAACACAGGGCGTATTCCAGCTGCAATAAATGCGGCAGTGTTACTTTTTATGAAAGGGCCTACATTATGCTTTCGAGAACGAAAGTTTGACAATCGGTCGCTCGCCCTCAGCAAATCAAATGCAATAAAAAAAATGTAGTAAAAAATACTTAACGTTACAAATAGTTTTGCACCGAAAACACATGGATAATGAAGAAGGCCGAAAATGCTCGAAGAAAATCAGATTTTTCCATTTTTTAGCCTGGTGGATTCCGCGTCAAAAACTTTTTGATGCCGACTTCATTTTCATTAAGAAAGTTAATCGCTGATTATTTTATCGAATACTTTTTTTATTAACTTCAAAGTGATACAAGGCAATCGAAGAGAAGCAAGTATAATGCAGAATATGGTGGCCCTTAAATATAAACAACCCTTAATTTCATTTTTGCTTTTTAAATTTTCATTAATTTAAAGGTGTCTCAGGACTAAGTGAATTTTCATGTTTGAGAGAAGGAGATTCGTGTTAATATTTATGTTGTCTGATACTTCAGGTGTATTTATATTTTTATTTTTTATAGGTGTATTTTAATATATCCTACCAAAATCTGTGAAAAACGCAGTTTCGAAAAAAGTGTTGGTTAGGGCCTTTGTGAATTAAGGTGACATATTCTATTTGCCAGTCAAGACACTTAACAGCCTGCTACCCATTAAGTAATTTTATAATTCAGCTACGTAAACATTCTTTTAAAACTCCGATTAATAAGGACTAACCCAAACCACATAAAAATAAAAATCCATTTCACCTTTGTGTGTCTTCAAATGCGTGCGTAGATTGCCGATGGTACTATAGCTGCGGCTGCAATTCTCATAGTTACAATTATAACGGCCAAGTGCATCGTCCGAATTCTATTTAGATCGAAATAAAAGAATAACAAGCAGGAAGAGTAGTTGTTAATAAATAGTAAATTTGATATGCAGTCGCTATCTGCTGCAGCGTAAAGAAAGTTTACACTAATCCTTTGTTCGTCCTTTGTGACAGATAGGCTGTTTTCCAAAACGCATCAATATCTTTAAATTCAAAATCATAAAATATGCCAATTTGCAATCGTATGCATTTTGGAAAACAGCAAAACAGTAAGCAAGCAAAGCATACAAAATCTATTACCAAACTTATTAAAAATCTTTAAATCAAGAAAAAAAAAACAAAATCGATACTATTATACAAGCATAATAATGGCATTGAGTTATTAGCAGAAGAGTCGTGGAAAATATTGTCTACTTTTTTTTTTTTATTAAAAAGCTGCTATTCTGATGGTAACAGATGTAAAATTGCTAGAAAAAATGTTAGATATTATATAAAATGTATTAAGGATTTTGCTGTGCTACAAACGCGCTTTTTCCAAGGTACTTATTGAATTGCTGTTAGATTGAAATTGAACAGATTTTTATTTTTAATAAAATATATTCACATTAAAATTAAGTGCATACATATTTCGTTAATGGCAAAGAGATAATGTGGGATATTTGAATTGTATACCTCGAAAATAGTAATAGTCGCATGAGTTGGCTCTCCTTTCTGTTTGTGCAAGGCACCGGGGCGTATACATAATGAAAGTTCATCGGGCTGATTATTTACTTCCATGTAACTAAAAAAACCACCGCATTTCGAAATAAACGTTTGTGGGTTACGAGAAACAAGAATATCGAAATTTTAATTTTAAAGTAATGTAAATTGTTTTTATTATTTATTGCAAACATAACGTTGCCTAGTTTCGTTTGTTTTAATAATTCTTGTAAGCTGCAGCGGATCGGTCAGTAAGGAAAAGCAAAATCGGCGGTTTTTTTTTTTTTTGGTTTTAATAAAAAGCCTTTAACTAGTATTTTACAATGAACAAAAAAAATAAATCAGCAGAAACAATTTATACAACATCTAATACATAAGTATTGAGCATTTATTTGATTTATTCTTTGAGCAAAATGTGATAAAATAAAAAAAGTGAGCCAGCACAAGTTAAAAGGCGCTTTTCGTTGCACTAAAACTGTTTGCAAAATTTATGTTTGACAAAAATGCGCATATATGCGTGTACATACATATGCATGGAAATGTGTATAAAAAATACACGTATCCCAAAAAAAAATACAAATTTAACAAAAGAAAAAAGCGACTGCTTGTTTGGCCATAGACATCAATCTTTTAAAAATACTTACATATTTATAAGACAGAGGTTTAAAAAGCGCACTGCAGTTCTACAGATACATATTTACGTACATTTATGAAACATGAGCCCATCTCCTGATAAAATCCTAGCATGTACATATTTTAATAATTTCACTTCGGTAATCCTTGGTATTTATTTCCTTATAAGCATTTTATTTAAATGGTGAATTGATTGTTTTGGGGCAATTTAAATGTTACCAAATAAAAATATCATAATTTCTGTATTTATAAATAAATTTTGTTGAATTAATGAATGAATATCAGAGGGTTGAATATCTCAAACAAGCGCTTCTCCGGGAATGGGTCAAAAAACTGCTGATACAGTTTTTAAGATAATTCATTTGTCAGTTTTTTTTTTTTTGGATTAACCCAATGAAATTCATTCGCATGTACATAAAGAAAATATTCCATTTTTATATGGTAACACTTAATTTGCCCTTTTTCAACTTTTAAATCTGAATCTTTTTTTGCTGGCCAATTAGTTCTTCTTATAAAGAATTAGGAAGTAACTTTAAATTACAAAAACAAAAAAAAGACTCTTAATCTTTAGAACATTTTTGGGTATGGAAATTTTTTTTGTCGAAGATGTTGCGCATTTTCTCCATATAAAAATAGATTTTGGAAGAAAATACTGAACACCCCCGATAAAAAAAAATCTATAAAATCAACGGTAGTTTTTAGTGACTTTAAACTTGCACTTTATTATACTAAAATTGATTGGGCTACAAACAAAACTGCATAACAAAACTGTTCCTAAAAATTTTGAATAAAAAGTTTGAAATTTTGTATAATTTGTATACTCGGAAAATTTCCAAAAATTCTAAATAAAAAGTTTGAAAGTTTGAGGAAAATTGTTTGAAGTTTGATTAGTTTTTTGTGAATTTTGTGCAATTTTTGAAATTTTTAACCGACTTAAAAAAAAGGATGAAAGGTCGGTTACCGCATAACTTTGGACCACGTTAACCAATTTCTATAATTATTTTTTTAAAGGAAAGGTGGTATCTCCGAGGTGGTCACATACTAATTTGGTTTAGATCCGATCATTGAATCATGAAGAAGTTAACGGTACTCCTAAATTTTTATATGAGAATTGAAGTGGGTTTGGTTATTGCTTAATAATTACTTGTTATTTCTGTAGTTTATGTTATAGATCGAAATATATTTTTTTAATGAAAATTATTAAAAATAAATAAATAATTTGTGTAGATTAACTGCAAAATAATTTCACTATTGCAATCTGATCAAATACTTTCAATTCCCCTTACAAAATAGATACAGACAAATGTACATAAGACATACTCCAAATTTATTCTAGACCCATGGTTTCTTCGGAAAATTTGCCTACGATTACACGTAGAATCCTTCTGTACTATACGCGCATAGTCGAAAAAATAACCCATACAAATTGACCCGTCCTAATGTATGTACATATGTATGTATGTATTTTTTAATTAAAACTCTATATTAAATTAAAAAAACTATTTATAGTCTTGACCAAGAAGCCATCACACCAAGGACCCCACCTTAACCCTGCATATCACCCACTCGAATAGACATTTATTTATATGTCCGAATGTACATATGTATGTATGTATGTGTAATTTTCGTTCAAATGAAATTATCTTGGCTATTTGCAACTGTGAAACGTATTAATTTTGGCAGGTGTTTACAGCATTTCGAGGCGTCCGCACTACTTAAACACTTCATGTCACAAGCGCTCTTACTTAGGACAATATTTAATAAGCAGCAAAAAAGCCGCAGACAAAATAAAACAAATAAATGAAAGGCAACACAAGCATATTATAACAACAATGACAGTGTCAATAATAGGAGTGCGATATTTTGACCAGTTTTGATTATTGTTCTTTCGTTTGGTTAACGTTTATTAATTTGAAATAAAAGTTTACCCTACTATCAAAAACCACATAAATCCAAATTTGATTTTCTTCCATAATGCGTGACACCGTCAAAAACTTGTCTTGTGTACCTACTTCAAACTTGCACTTTATTGTACTAAAATTTAATGTGCCATACAACTGCATAAGAAAAATGTTCCTAAAATTTTTGAATAAAAAGTTTCGAGATTTTGTTGCTTTTGTATAATTTTTTGAACAAAGTTTGAAATTTGAATTTATGTGGTTTTGTTATATAACAAGCTATACTTTCATAAAAAATTAATAAACAATCAAAAAGAAAAGAAAAAATTTTGGTCAAAATATCACATTCCTATTGTTTTGTGGACAACTGTATGTAGAATGTACATACATACGCAATGCACACGTATGGATGTTTGTATACAAATGTGATTTATTTTTGCCAATTAGCAACCAAAAAATTTTGAATGCAGCAAGAATTAAAATCCAAAATTTAAAATAGACACGGTAGAAGGAAAATCATTATGGTTTCGACCACCTGACATTGCGCTTTTAAAATGAAATAAAGCATCTAAATATGTACATACATATATTTGTATATAAAAGTTTACAAATAAATTACCAGAAAATACATAAGTAAATACAAAGCGCTATTAGCTATGTATATACACCCGCGGTCAACTAATTAGCACCGAAATTCAAAATTATATTGTTTGCTACTCATGTTTATTTATTACGGTTGATTTTTTAGATTTTTTTTTGTGGAGGGTGTTGCGGAGTTTTTTTCATATAAAAATATATAAATAAAAATATATATAAGAATATATAAATATATATTTTGATCATGCGTTATATGGAGGAAATGCGCAACACCCTCCCAAAAAAAAAATTAAAAAGCAAGGGGAATTTTTAGCAACTTGAAACTTGCACTTTATTCGACTAAAACTTAATGGGCTCCAAAAAAAAAATATGTATGTACATATCTGCCTCTGAAGACTTACGTGAATCTTTTCCCTCCAATATTGCCAAGGATGGAAAGTAATTAAACCCAAGCCATTTACATACTTCATAAATATGTATGTATGTATGTAGATATAATTAAGGATTCGGTTAGACCGGAACGATGCAGATTATTTTTTAAGTATTTTACATCTGAGCACATTTTCAATACATCTTAATTTGAGATAGGGCGTTTTTGAACCAAATTCTGAGATAGGGCATTCTTAAACCAAATTCTGAGATAGGGTGTTTTTCAATGAAATTCTAGAATAGAGCGTTTTTCAATGAATTTCTGAAGTAATTTTTGAAAAGTTTTCTGAGATAGGGCATTTTCGAACTGGCTGCCGAGATAGGTCGATCTTCCACTCAGCCATCGATATGTAAATTTAAATATTAATTTATATATAACTCTTTGTTTATAAAACCGCTACGTTTTCTAATCAAAAAACATTAAATATTTTACAGACTATTAGAACAATAGTTGCGACTAAGTGATAAATCATCTATGTAACATATATATGTATTCACATGTAAATATGTATGTAAAAGTTTACACATACATATGTATTTAACGGCGGCCACGAGGAGGACAACAAACAAGCAAAGTAAAACATCTTTTATTTTAGAGACGACGAAATGAGTATGAAATGAAATGAGCAATAGAATTACGAAGCAAACCAAAATTACCAAAAAAAAAACAAATTCGATCCAACGAAGGCATTAGTAAATTAATAAAGAGTATTTTTAAATATTTTGTTTAGGTTATTAATGGGCGATTAGTATTTTTTTTTTAAATTCTATCATGCAAATGCATGTTAATACATATGTACACTAGCGTGGTCCAAAAATTCATGTAAAAAGTGAAGTCGGAATTTCAATGCTCTCACCCCCTAGGATTGTTCTATATCGAAAAAAAAACTTTATCCATGCTTTTTATTTTGAAATAAAAAAAATATTTAGAGGTCGCTCAAAGTTCTCAATGTTACTAATAGAAAATGGTTAAATAAATAAATGGGAATTGTTATTGCAAGTCTCCTGAAGAGAAACAAAGTTTTCGAAAAATATTGATTTTCAAAAATCCCTTACCATTTCTACGAAAACTTGTTTTTATTCATATAATATATGTACATACCTACATGGAAAACTTTGTGCGCTTCGAGCGACCTCTAAATATTTCTTGATTTCAAAATAAAAAAGGGGTATAGAACAATCCTAGGGGGGGGGAGAGAGCATTAAAATTCTGACATTACTTTTTTTTTTACCACCCTAATGTACACACATTTTTTTGTATATGTACGTACATATTTCTATCTATAATTATAAGTATTTAGTGAGGAAAAGTTAATTTTTCACTTTTAAAGCAGTGCAGCACATAAGAGCTAGCTGCATCATGCAACAAATAAGATTGATCGAAAGCAAAATAATACACTGTATATGTATGTACATCAACGTACAAAACGTCTTTGTTAAATTTTTTAAAATCGACAATTCAAAACAGAACTACCTTTCTTTCGAGTTATTGTCAGTCGACTTATGTTGCTGGTGATCTAAAAGATCAGAGGCAATCGATGCCGACGACGGCGAAGACAACATTGTCAGATGTGAGTTGTCTATTTCTAATCGATCGATAGTCATGTTATTTGATATTGATGCTTGGTCATAGTACATTAACGATGTTGCAAAGTCTGGCGACGAAGCACTCATTGCTACTACAGTAGGAGGCTGTACTTGGACAAGTTGTTGGTCTTGAAACTTGTACTCTAACCGTAAGCAAATATCGTTATTATTATTCTTGATATTTTTTATGTACATCGCCGCATCTGCGGTAACCGGTCCAATTGAGTCTATATTTGGTGATGAAAACGGCATTTTTCCAATTTCTAAAACTGTTGAATTTTCAGTGGTTTGTGGTTGTGGTTGTTGATGCCGGTGCTGTATTTGCATGACCATCGGCGTCTGTGGCACTTGAAATGAATCGTTGGACATATACGATGAGGATGGTGATGATGTGGACATTAACGGGAATTGGACGGGTGATAACAATGTTGCACAGAGCTCACCTTCGGACAATGACATTTTTTGGTAAGGATTATGAGATGGACACGCACTAGATGAAGATGATGATGCCTGATCACGAGGCAGTAAGGGTGTATCCAACGTATCGCTCAAGAAGCGAATTATTATATTATCAGCACTTTCAGCGTTGTCATCGTCGTCGCCGACAAGATTGCTAACGTTTGCGTTAATTGACGAAGTCAAGGGGACATGCGATAATGGCAAATCACTATCTACACTTTCGCCAACTCTCATATCCCCATCACCCTCGTGTGCCATTATTGCATTGTATATTGGGTAAACCAAGTCAGTAGTGTCTTCTAGAGCTAAGCTTAATCCTAAGTGGTGGAGCACCTGTTGATGTAATTGTTGCTCTACATCAGTTACTACTAGCGCTCCATTCGATTGTTGCGTGGTTCCTTGATTTTGCAACAGTTCTTCCGACGGCGATTTAATCGAAAAATCTGAGGGAAACTCATCGAAGCTATCCAATAATTCTAATTGTAGTTGTGGTGATATCGTTGCGGATGACGTAGACGATGTGGACGCAGACGCTGAAGGAATGGAACTATACGCCGAAGACTGGTCATCAACAAGAGGGGGATCTTGATCTCTGTGAGTGCTAGCATTTTCTGTGCTCATTGTTCTCAGCGATGTTGTTGGATTTGTTGGTGTAATTTTTTCAGCCGATAGCATTGTTGAGTGTATTAAATCCATTGCGTCACACTATGGCAGTAAATTTATTAATTTCAAATTCACTATGTTACAAACTCTGTTTTGCGCTACTTCTATTTATCAATCAACAAGTTAAATTATTTTTCACTAGGAAGAGAAAAACAGAATTACTTTGTGAAATTGTGCACTTGTTCCCGTTCATTATCGCGATAGAAGTAGTTATGAGGGAGATACATCGATGCATCGAAGATATCGATGTTTAGTTTCTACGCATCGAAATTTTTCTAATCGATACATAAGTCGGCCATGTATCGATACATCGGTCATTATTAGGTTTGTTCGTTGAGTGCATATGGTTACAAAGTTTACCAGTGCGCTGAATGTGAAAAAGGTTTAAAAATTACCACACTTCACAAGGTGTGTGTTTATTTTTACTTTTGTTTATTTATTTATTACAGTCATTTGACCTATATACATTCACGCAAATACATTTGAAATCTGTATTGCAAAATTTATGTTTTAAAAAAATAGAGAGCGTCAGATTGGCAGCCCTTGCATCGACGGACCCAAATAACGTTGGCCTATACTCAACTTTTGACGCTCGTAAGTCCGTCTCTGCTGATAGTTGTATAACCTTGAGTTTACACAAGACAAGAGAGATGAGAATATGCATTGATTGTCACATTCTTTGAGCAAAGTAGGCATCCAGACAAAAAACTGTCTTCTAAAAGCCAGACACTGTGACGAAGGCATCAAGAGAAGTGTGAATATATTAGTAAACAAAGTGTGAATGTTTTGCTATGGTATCTGAAAAATTTACGTGTGTAAACCCCAAGTACGCGAAATAATAATAACTTTGAGGGGTGAGAAAGTTCGTATTATGCCATCTCAGTTCATATACGAGACAGTCGTTTAATACTACATGCAAAATGAGCGGCAAGTTCAAAGGAATTCAGGCGAGAATTTCAAAAGAAAACACGTGGTTATAAGTCAATTATAAACGATACTGTTAAAACGAAAATATAATTTTTTTTCTAATTAATTGTATATAATTATTAACTCAAATAGCATCCCTACGTGTATAACGGCCCCGGGCCCTCACTTTCTTAATACGTCCCTGGCCTTAGTCCCCTTTCAGACACGTCAAGTCTGGCTTTCAAGTCTGCTCGTTCGTAGGCGAAGGAGGTGAGAATAGAGGGGAAGAGTACAGATACCTCCGTACCGTCAATTCGTTTCAAGTTTTCTTGTCTCTTTTGATCTTTTCGTTGCTTCCCATTTAAAGAACCAAGGACTTGAATTCAATTAAAGTTGAGGCGTGTGGAATCAAATAGAAAACACAAAAGAGAATGCGAAAAAATTGCTTTCAAGACTTGACGTGTCTGAAAGGGGACTGATATGTACTTTATTTTTACTTTTACTGATTTGACAGCACACACACAGAATAATTATTCTGTCATTCTAGTGTAAATTAGCCCAATGTGTAGATAAATTCGTACCTCTATCGATGCTTGGTTTCGATAACAAAACATCGATGAATTTATGCCACCGACTTATCTAAATAAAAGTGAAGAGAAATTTGATCGGAGCAAATGAAGAATAATTTGAAACAAAATGGTATTGGAACAGTAGCGGCGATTGAGATGAATAATTTTAAGGCTGCAAACCTTTTATTAAAACTAAAAAAAAAAAAGACAGAAAAAGACAAGTTTTACGATTCATGAGGAATAACCGAGTGGCTACATAAAAATTACATGATTTAATTATTTTTTTCCCACTATCCGCAGTTGTTGCAAAACTCAGGAAAATTCAATAAATTTGAATACTAATTTGCAACTTTCTATTCAGATTTTTTCAAAAAATTCTAATAATGTATTTTTATATTCCATCTAATTTTAGTATAACAAACTGCAAGCTTGAAGTTGCTAAAAAACTCAGGTTCTTCCATACAAAGTATATTCGACAATTATTTTGTGTATGGAGAAAATGAGCAACACCTTCCACTAAAAAAATTGCCAAAAATCAACGCGATTTTTTAGATACTTCAAACTTGCACTATGTTATACCAAAATTGAGTGGACTATAAAACTGCATACTTAGAATTTAATCTAAATAGAAAGTTGCGAATTAATATGCAAATTTATTGAATGTTCCTGAGTTTTGCAAAAAGTTCAGAGATTGAGTTTTTTTGGTTTTTTAGAAAAGTACCAACTAAATATATATTTTTTTTTAAATATTGAAAATAAATTAAAATAAAAAATTTTCATATATTGCGAAAAATTTCCTGTGCCAATACTTTTGTCCGGCACGGTATGTTAATTCGTAGTGCGATAAAAATACAACCCTGCAAGGAAACTAATTGAACTGCCAGTCATCGTGGTTGTCAGCTTTTAACAATTTATCCATATAGAAATCCGGATTAAAATTACTGCTTTTGGCAATAGAAATAGTTTTTAAACTTAAATAATTGAATATGAGTGTGCGTGTAATTAATGATGATGTCCACTTTCAAGCAGAGCTTAGTTCTGCTGGAATCCGCCTTGTGGTGGTGGATTTCACAGCTAGTTGGTAAGTAAATACTTATCTAATTTTGATGGAGTGTGAAATTAATGCTTTGTACCAAAAAATTATAGGTGTGGACCGTGCCAGCGCATAGCTCCACATTTTGAATTGCTTCCTAATAAATATCCAAAAGCAATTTTTCTGAAAGTGGACGTTGACAAGTGCCAAGACACCGCTGCTAGTCAAGGTGTTTCAGCCATGCCTACATTTATTTTTTATCGCAACCGGGTAAACGAAATAAAATTAGAATCCCTGATTTTTAATACTGAATTTCGATTTTCAGGCAAAAATTGATCGCGTTCAAGGTGCTGATATTATGGTTCTGGAAGGTAAAATTCAAGAGCACATCGGCTCTACCGGAGGCGACGAAGCCGGTGAAGACTATGGTCAAGGACTCGTATGTACCAGGAAACTATAAATGTTGCAATATGTATCATATCTAATTTAGTTTTCTTCATTTTAGATGGAACTGAATACATTCATTTCGAAACAAGAATGCGAATGTTTGAACGAGGCCGATGACCATTGCTTAAACCATTGTCTTACCTCGAACGGTGGTTATCTGCAATCAGACTGTGACGAACAATTAATTTTGTCGGTGACATTTAATCAACTAGTAAAAATTCACTCATTGAAATTTAAGGCACCACCACACTTGGGGCCAAAAGAAATTAAGCTGTTTATAAATCAGCCCCGTACAATCGACTTTGACATGGCCGAATCTATGACGAGTGTACAAGATTTAACGTAAGGATTAAAAAAAAAATATCGTTATTGTATAATGAGATTTTGTATTCTTTGCAATATTAGATTGGAACCTAAGGAACTTGAAAGCGGACAACCAGTCAGTCTTCGTTACGTAAAATTTCAAAATGTTCAAAACATACAAATATATATTCGTAACAATCAATCGGGTGGAGAAGTTACACAACTTGATTATATTGGATTCATAGGTTCGCCAATTATGACTACGAAAATGACAGACTTTAAGCGTGTTGCCGGTAAAAAGGGGGAAAGCCATTAAAAGTTCTCAGTGCATACATCGAGCAATAAACAGCACTATATGTATATTGAATATATTTCCAATCGCTTTTCTAATATTCCAGACATTTGCTCTTGGTTTAAGTCCGAACTGGAAGCCTGCAATAATTAAATTTATTAAAAAAAAAATCCGCATTGTATTTTTTACATACAATTTTTTGTATCATTCTTCCCCAATGAAAACATATCTTGCATACATTCGCCTATTTTATTCCTATATTTTCTTTATTAAAACGTCCTACCTTCTAATTTTGTCTTTGATATAAAAAGGCAATATTAAAGAGTACTAGTTTTATTAAAAAAAAAAAACGGCATTCTCTCGTTTTTATAAAAATTCGTATATCATTCTTTCCCGATAACCACTATTTTGCATAAATTCTCCTATTTTTCTCCAAAGGAGCCTTCGTTTATTTAAAACTAAGTGTTTTGAATGAGTATCAAAATCAACTGTTGCTGGAACTATTGCCTACAGAAAAATTGTCTTTTATCCGTTGCTTAATATCTTGCATTAATATAGACCATGCTTTGTCTACTTGCTCCTGGGTAAATTCGTCTGACCATTGCGAGCTAAAAACAATGTGTGATTTGGATACGACCTCACTGTTATCCATTTGACTGGCAATACGCTTACGTGCTTCTTCTTCACTTAAGTCATTCCGTTGCATAATACGTTGTACAGCCAGTTCCGGGGATACAATAGTCGACCATACCTCGTGACATTCAGAATCCCAACCAGCTCTTAATAATATTGCCGCTTCGATTACAATGATATTATATTTATGCTGGTCGTGAGCAATGCGGATTCGTCGCTTAACCTCTAGCAATAGCTCTGGCCATACAATGTTGTTCAACGATTCTAATTGCTTAGGATCATTAAATACGATTCCCCCAAGTTTTTGACGATTAATTCGACCTTCTGAGTCCAAAATGTCATTGCCAAAATGATTAATTATTTTTGTGTAACAAACTTGACCTGGCTCGTAAATCTCATGCGCAATCTTGTCACAATCCAATACTTGTGCACCCTTTTTAAGCAGTCTATTGCACATTATGCTTTTTCCAGAAGCTATACCACCGGTAAGACCAATAATATATGGCAGCCCAGGTAGGTTGGGTCGTGGCTATGTATATATGTGGAGACGTAATGGGAATGTAATTAAATATTTTGCCAAAAAAGATAAATATTCTACTAACCTCAGGGTGTCTTAGCCTAGTTCCCAATAGATCGACACGTGTATTACTTGAGCTTACTTTCTTTTCTTTTGGACCAACACCCGTGTCATTTGATTCAACGAGGCTTATACAATATATTTCTAACGGCCGTAAATTATTTTTGATTCGCAGCTCATTCACTTTATGGCCGCCTCTTTCGGTTTCCGCACTCACTACAATCAAATCCATATTTGGATCGGATTGGGTTGGCCCAAATGGGTCATCAATAGGAACGACTTCGTATTGTAAGCTAGAGTCAATTTCCGTCAGAAATCCACGTACTTCTTCGATGCGCTTTTCCACTGGTAATATCAACTCCGAAAGAGTTTTGGCTGAGAATAATAACAAATTTTTACTTTTACATTTTGTTAAATGTATTTAAACTTACATTTATTCATTTGTTTTGTCGTAACACCCACCACTAGCCGGCGGCAGCAGCGAATTACAGCCTGCGTTAAAAATATCTTGTGCCCTACATGTATGCGGTCAAAAGTTCCACCAACTACTACTGTGTCATACATCTTATGAGCATCTTTAAAGTCCTGATATTCACCAACATCTGTGGTCGAATTTGATTCTTGCTCTAAGTAAATCGGTGGACCAGGTATGTTTAAATGTTCACGCATGCGTTCACAAAGTTCAGGATAGTGACTATCACAAAATAGCATATCAACGGGTTTTATTTGAAGTGCATTGATTCCCTGATCCCGTAAGGACCCCACCAATATGCTCATTTTAAAGCTCTGATTACAAAACCGGCTATTATCTGCGTACATTTGAGATATCAAATGGCCCCAAGTTGGCATTGGTTGACATTTTTCCACCGGAATGTTAAGATGTATATATATTTTACCCACATACTTCTCTATAGCACGCAAAGATGCACCGATTTGTTTAACATTGGACACAACCAAGAGACCTGTGGAGGTCATTTTGGCAATCTTTTAAAAATTTGGGATATATGTAGTCAACCGTAATCAAAATTGATGAAGTAGGGAATGAACTTTGAACGTTTTGGGTTTGATAAGGAAATCAGCTGGATTTTACAGTGTGGTCCAAATAAAGTTCCCAAAATAAAATGACAACAGCAAAACAGGGTAATTCATGTTATTAATTTTTATAAATGGCAAAGAATATTTTTAATTTAATTTATGATTTATAATTTTATTTAATGATGAAACGTAAACACAGTTCCCATTGTCCTTTTTATTTTTTTTTATTTTTAACTGCAGCAGTTTGACCAGAATTTCCATCTTAAAAGAATTTGATACAACCCTGTAAACAAAACAAATACGTCAAGTGCGAAAAACACGTCATAACAAATAATTGCATTAATCGGGCGAAAGGCGGCATTAGAAATATTTTTTTAATTTCCTAAAAAGAACTACATTGAAAATGGAGCCGCTCTACCATCAGACGAATCGTATGTTGCAAGAGATTGAACAGATCTTCCAGAGATTAGCACAAATAAGCGGTTCTGAAACGACTCATGTGGAAAATGAGATTCAGATGAAAATCACTGCAGCGAATTCGTAAGTTCTATTAATGAAGCTATGTTCAATCTTCATAAATTTAAAATAAATATTTCATAGAAATTGTGATCGCTTAGATGTTCTGCTGTATAAAGTACCAGCTTCTCAACGTCCAAGTGCGAAAATGCGCATTGACCAGCTAAAATATGACATTCGACATTTACAGAGTTCATTGCAACTTTATCGAGAAAAGCGACAACGTCGTCTGATAGAGCTTTCTGAGCGTGAACAACTATTAAGTCATCGTTTTTCAAGCAATTCAGGTGCAACAGAAACGTGTCTTGACATTGACTATTCTTTGCAACATCACACGCAACTAAACAATGCCAATCAAGGTGTAGATGAAATGATTGCATCTGGAGGCAATATACTGTCCAGTTTAATTAACCAACGCGAAACTCTCAAGGGCGCCCAACGGCGTATTCACGCTATCGGCAGCACATTAGGCCTTTCTAATCACACTATGAAGTTAATAGAACGACGCTTTGTGGAGGATAAATATGTAATGTTGGCCGGAATGGGTGTTACGCTGTTTATTATGGGCTTGGTCATATATTTTGTAGTTTTTTGAGTATAATAATAGTAAGATAATACGTAATCTAATTTTTAATGCTAAACATAGTTTGCAATACGAGTGAGTCAAATTCTGCCTTAAGATCGATTTGTTTAAATTATGATAAATACATTTTCAAAAATAAAATGTTGACATCAAGAAGTTGTGCTATGTGTTGCGGAAGTAACCCGGATTTCCTCTTAATCATCGGTGTTTAATTTTTTTGTTAATATGTCCGCTTTTTTTAGCTGATATAGTACTTGAATTACCAGAGAGCTTATTCTTTGAATTTGTGTTTCCGCTCGGAGTGTTGGGATCCTTTAAAACATCCCGCTGGGGAGTAGGTGTCACTGCCCGGTCTATTTGATAAATGAAAGTCACACAATACTTAGAAGCCCAATTTTAAAGCAAATCAGCTTACCACTTTTTTCTTCTTTACCGGTACTTTTTATCGATGCAGTTCCATCGTGTGCTGTTGTTGTGTTTTGGTTCATAGCTATTTGATTGTCACTCGAATCCTCATTCGTTATAGAATCTGATTCGCTGGCACGTTCAGCTTAGAACAGGGTAATTTTAAATATTAAATAACACAAAAAAAAATAATTTTACAAGCCTTACGGTTGCATATAGCCATGGATGTAATGCTTGATTTTGAGAAAAGCCTTTCAGCTTCTTTGAATTTACGATTCCTTTTATCTGCTTTGGAATTTGTGGCTTTATTGGAAGTTAGGTATCGCTCCCAACCACGTATAATATTGCCGCATAGTTGCGTATCTTCAAGGTATGATCCCTCAAAAGCATAAATTTGTCTTTCTAGATTAGCCAGTTGCTCCTAGATGGAAACGCAAGATGCATTGAGAAACATATAAACTAAACAAATCATGATAATGTTTTTATCATGAAACAAATAAACATGCTTACAGATGTCTCCGCCTTTTTCTTGATAAGGTCCGCCAATTCTGCACGGGTATCTAAGTTAGTAGATTTCGTCGTTGAATTTGTTTTGGAAGACTTCCGTTGCTTTGCAACGCTTACATCGTTATTATTTTTGACAGTCGGGGAGCTCATTTTTATGATATATTCCCTTAAAAGTTAATATTTTCCTTTTTCTCGACAAAATTCATAAATTGTCAAAATGAATTAGGGATCGCGATGTTAACCGATGCATCGGAGACGTCGATGTTTCCAATTCGACGCATCGAATAAGTTCCGATGTATCGATTAATCGATATTATCGTTGCATCGATGTATTAGTTGCGTTCGCGTAGCTGTTAATTGTTCATGTTTCACCAAAACTTACAAGTTTTTGCATTCGCGTACGCAAAAAACTTGCAAAGTAGGGGAAATTGAGAGAGCAAAGTGACATTTCATTTTGAGGGGAAGCTGCTGGTTTCTGCTGGAAAAAATTTTGCCAACAGCAACTTGCCAACAGGAAAACAGCTGATCAAAAACAGTTGGTTGGCATTTACGCAAATCACAAAATTGAATTTGATGGTTTGGAAATTAAAAATTACAAAATGCGACTAATTAAACTTGTAAGAAATAAGTAGTTATTTGTTTAACCAATAAACTGTGCCAATACAACTCTTTGTGATGACTTTTCGTACGTTTTAAATTTTACACTTTTGAATGTAAACAAAAATTATATCAGCTGTTCGTCTAACTTGCAAGTTTCTGCAAATTTTCTGTTCTCGTACTTTTTGGGATATTTTTCTCTTGTGAGAGAACAGATGACATTTCGCCGCAATTTGGCAGTTGGTTGGTCTTTACCGCCGATGTCCACACTGCAAGCATCAACACAAAATGAGGTGTTGTTTTTGTTTCCAATGCAATGTTCGCAAACTACGCCACAAACGACGAGCATGCTCACTGAAAATAATTTTTTTTTTTACTTTTTGCGAACATGCACCCACAAACGACGAACATGTACCGTACAATAATTATGATATTTATGCGATAAAATTAAATACAGAATTTTCAGTTCGAAGGAAAAATATTTTAATCCTTCCAATTAAGTGTTTTTTATTTCAACACAAGAAAATGTTTTCTATATGGCAGCATAACACTGTCCGCTCTGTTATTCCTTTATCTGTTTTGTTTTCATCGAATTTTTCTTATTTTTGCTAACAAACGAGGGCATGGTGCAGCAAATACTTGATTTTACCATTTTTTTTTTATAATTATACAAATAGGACGAAATGGCTGAAAGAATCTTATATGTCCCACGTGTCAATCAGGTAGTATTTTGTAATTACATATGTATACATACATATATCTTGTATAAGCAGAATAAATTGTTTCTTGTTTTTTTATTTCAATAAGATCGATGCGATTAATTTAAATCGAGATATTACTCGGCTAATACGAGATAATTTATTGGAAAACTTACAAGCGATATCAGTAAGTTGCGGAAATTTTGCAAACGAAAAATCTAAACATTACTTTTAATACCACAGCCCTCCTTATTTGCGAAGATACAGCCGGAATTGGATTTGTTTATACAATCTGCAATTTGGTTAGGATCCGTTGGCAAACAATGCTCTACATTTGGACAGCAATTGCTTGTTTTATCATATGACAAGGAGCATTTGACTATGTCGAGACTATGTTTACACTTTATACTAACAGTACTTCCAAAATATATTAAAAATTGGGATGATCGCCGAACAACTATACGCGCCGAGTGGCTGCACAAGGCAATTGAGTGGGGCGAAAATGCGGCTTTACTGTTGTCTGTTCTCAATTTTTTTCGTTTCTTGAAGACAGGTCGGAAACCAACTTTGGTCGATTATATTCTTGGCTTGGATTACATTAGTTTACGACACAATCAGAGGCGTGACATAGGGTACAAATACCTCACACGAGAACTGCTTTGGGGTGGCTTCATGGTAATTGGTTATTTAAATAAATTAGTTATTCTGAATGCAACTTATTTCGCGTTATTAATGTACATATATATATACAGGAAATTCTGGGGTTGCTGTTGCCGGTCATTAATTTCAGGAAAATTCGACGTGTTTTTAACAATACTCTAAAAAGTGTATACTCACACCGAAAAACTTCGAAGGCGCACATTGCCGAGGAGAACGTAATTGTAATGACTTCGAATACGGTTTGTACCTTCTGCGGCGAACGTCCAACGATACCTCATCATATGGGTTGTGGGCACATTTATTGCTATTATTGCTTGTCGGCCAATATTTCCACTGATGCAGATTTCAATTGTGTTGAATGTGGCGCAACTTGTTTTAATGGAATTTGGGCAGTATAGTTGCAGAGTAATGCCCATACATACACACCTATAATGCCTATGGATTTGCACGTATATGTATACCTCAATTCATATACGAATAAACATGATAAGGGGATAAGGGTAATTGTAGTCATGTACTCGGTTTTAAAGTATGTGTAAATAAAATAACTTTTTTTAATAATAGAATTTTTAATAGATAGTTATGTATGCATGAGCATACGTAATCAGTTATAAGCCCCTACGATGGATGCTGTGATAGCCCTGAATATGGCTTTCAGCTGTACATTTTTTTCGAAAATAAAATGTAAGAAATGTACAATTCTTTATATGAAACTCGAACCATTTGATGACAATCGCGCTTTATTTAGAATGTTTTTAATCACACAACATAACGAAACAGCGAAAAACAGATACACACAAGATACAGTAGATCACTATAATAATGTAATATATGTATGTATATTATTAATATACATACATACGTATGTATAAAGGGTATTTCTAGTAATACAAATAGAATGCTTCATAGCGAGTATTTCGCTTCCAAACGGTGCAAATATAGTGTGTTTATTAATATGTATACACTGGATTTTCCAGATCTAAAATTTGTGGGCTTGTTCCATTACTCTATTAGAATATATATTTTTGAAGGTACTTTCGATACTGTTTCTAAGACTGCATCCGGATATTTGTTTTTTGAAATTTAAATAGATTTACATGTCAGTGGGCAGGATGTCCGGTATTAAATATTTGCACAAATCAATTTCGTTATCCACAAAAATTACTTTCTTTGCTGTGTTTTCATCTAGCCATTGCCTGATAATAGGCCATATGGTAGAAAATATACCCGGAGAGTTTATAATCAAGCAGACACCCAACCGTTCGGGATAGTGTTTGCTTAGCAACCAAATCAGATTTTTCACCAGCTGGTAGTCCATACAAGCAGTGCTGAATTCAGCTAAATCGAAAACAATGCACAAGCTGTCCACGACTTCTTCAAAGCATTTCTTACACGCTTCCTCTAAGCAGTGAACTATAAACTTTGTCAACTCATCTATATCACGGTCATTAGAGTTGTGATTTTTTGCAGGAATGTAAATTACCGGACGTCCAATACAATCTCGGTGCCGTAAAACGCGTGCTTTGTTTCCATGTAACTTTATAGCGTCTAAATCTGCCAGAGTCTCTACTCCATATTGCTCTCGCCATTTGTTTGTTTTAAGAATAGCCTATTGGTTGGATATTAAAGTACGCGTTATCAGTAATTATTGATTTGTATCTATACTATATAGTACTTACCTGAAAAGCAGCATCTACGGTTTTGAAAGCTCGGAGGTAACGCTTTAAAGAAAAATCGTTGTGGTATTGCTTAGGATCAGCTTCAACAATAAGCTTCATACGATCCTTCAGATCTTTCAAATCATTGGCATTGACTGGGCTAGGTTCATCCTGCGACATATTGATATATGATGACAGCGATAATGTTGATGATAGAATATGATAAAATCAAAATCGGTTAATCAAGCCTATACACCGCGATAAAACTTTTCTCCCACACTGGAGGCCTGACAGCTGGATTACTTCTTTTTCTTTGGCACAACAAAAATTACAAATATGGAGAAAAGAAGAATAAAAAATTAAGTAGAGGAAATGAGCTGTGTTTAAAAAGCACTCTGGAAATGCACATTCAAAGCAAGCAAAAAAAAATACCGTTCAACTTTTTTCAACCGGTAGATGGGAGCCAGTATTTTAAAACTAATTTAACTCTTAAATAATGTTAAATAAAGAGCGTGTCAGACGTGGCATTATATTTCGTATGCAATATATTTCGAAAAGGCCGTCAAATTGAGAAATTTTTAGAAAGCAGTAGCATGAGCAGTCACACCTTGCATGTAAAGTGTCTTAAGAGGGTGTCAGACATGGTAATATTTCCAGCTGTTCCACACAATTCGCAGAAAGGCCTTTCGGTAAAATTTCTGAAATCAGTTTCAGAAATAAAAGTTGCAAGATGTGACTGCAATTGAGAGAGCGCAAATCGATATTTCCTATATATTAAAACCTCTTTCGAAAGGTTGCTTTTATGTGTTCGTAGAAAAAGCGACTATCTGGCAACCTGTAAATTAACAATTTATCCACCAAAGTCGTTTGATAAAGTGATAAACTTTCGTTAAATAGATTTCCATACAAAGTTTGACAGTTCATTTATCAAAATGATAAATTTATGTCTTTATCTAGTTTATCACTTTTGTGAAGACCCCTATCGAATCATGGGGAACGCTATAAACAGAGTTGTAATATTAAAAAACTGCCATGATTAGCAACTCTTGATTTGTAAGCACTATGTATGTACATATGTATTTGTAGTATATTCAGGAAACAACAACACTTCTATTAGACAGTCTTTAAGCAAAGTAAAAACAAAATTTCGAGAATATCATCAGTGCTAAATAAGAGTCGAGCCAAAATAATTTTGCAATTGATTTTAATAAGGAATTGTGTTTCTCAAAATAACTGTATACTTGAAGCAGTAGATATTTGGATAAAAATATTGAGAAAATTACGTCAACGGAGGTAAATTGATATGACGACATTCCATAAAGCAAAGTCAGTGGCATACCAATGCTTTCAATAATGTTAGTCGCAATGAACAATTGTTGGAAAAGAAATCAAAAGCGGATATAATAAGAAATGGGCGACCGTCTAATTACTTAATAAATAATTTTATAGAAAAACTTAAGTCCATAAAGTAAAACAAATATAGAAGTCGAGGACGAATCACTTTATACATTCATACATACATATGTACATCATACGTATGTATACGTGCGTACGTAGCAGGAGAGAATAACTTTTACTCCTTACCTAACTGATAAGACCCTTTATTAGTGATGTTCATGATAACAAAGGGCATTCAATCCGAAAGTGAATGCTATTAAACAGAAAACATTTTAAAACATATGTATGTATTATGGAAAATATCTCTACATATGCAAACCTATGAATTTGTACGTTAATACATATATGTACATATCTACTATATATGTATGCGTACATAAATACATATATATATATGGTTAATATCTTGGCCTCTGTTTAATGCTTTCTTCTAGCTTTGGGTATTTCCAAGCACAGAAATAAAGCAGGAAACATCGCCGAATATCAATGCTTCAAGGTGAACAAATTTTATACCCCATACAAAATATATACATACATGGGTATGTACATACGAATATATATGCATTCATATGTATGTACACGAATTGAATCATGAGACACATGGACATTCAAAGATCATTATGAACCTTTTTTCTTTGTGTCTAGCGAATTTCATTTACTTTTGTTGTGTGTTATGAATGTAAACTTGCTATCATTGCGTAGCACAGTGCCAAAGTTTGTACAAAATTAAGAAATAATTCGTATTTATGGCAAAGTTCGAAACATGTCTTTGTAAGCAAATTCATACATATGTATAAAGATACCTAAGCAACTACGGCTACTTCATATCTGTTAAAAAATTAAAAATATTAAAAAATTTTATTAATAAAATAATGGAGTAAATTCTTGAATCAATATACATATTCATATAGTTTGTATGTACACATGAATGTATATAAAAGTGGAAATTGTCTCAAAGAAAATATGCTTTTTGTGCTCTTGAACATTTTTTTCAATTAACTCTTGTTTTGAGTGTAGTAAAATTCAGTTATCTTTTGTTGTTTTTCGCGACTATGCAAACTTACCACTATTGTAGTGGTGAGCATTTCGCCTTCATTAGGTCCATTCCTTATCTTTTCTGACTAAAATCTGAAGTGTCAAAATGCAAGAGTGTAAGCAAAAAAAGAGAATAACAAGAAAAAGTAAAGGAACGCAAAAACACAAATTTTTAGTCCAAAGAATGGCAACAACAAAAGTAATATCAAATAAGAATAGAAATGTATGTAAAAAACTCGTTCACACAAGCACAAGCACAATAAAAAACTTACTATATCAATTATTTTTTGACTACTTCGGACTGAAGAGAGGTACAGTTGCTCTCTCATTTCTGCTGCCATTTTCAAGTTAAGAAATGTTTTTTGGACTAAATCTGACTACTTCGGTTTATTTCTGGTAGATAAGGAACGCAACTATTGGAAAAATGGCAAAAACAAATCACTTTGTCACATATCGTGGTGAGTTGTGAGGTACAGAGTTGCTTAGTACAGGTCCCCGATTCTGTTAATAAAGGGACTGAACGGCAGGTAGAAAGTTGTTTCTATTTATATTAAAATTCACTTTAATAAATTGCTTGTACTAAAACTACTTCGTTGATTTAGTTATTAATTGCGACTGAACCTTTGTAAACATAAAGAATACAAATCGTCGCGTACTTATACCTTATCGTGCGTGAGTTTACAATTTGAAACAAATGCAACCCTGGTTTTCATTAGCAGCTCATTTGAACGCCTCGTGTTCGTCATCGTAGTATCAAATTGGGATTTTATATCACAAAAAAAGGAAGCACAATTGAAAACAGATTGGAAAAATAGTGAATTGAATTTAAAATATTGAAGAAGATACAATCAAAAACGTGCATATTGTGTTCATAGAGTTATAATTATATTTAGACATTTGAGGCAAACACGCAAAGTTCTACCCAGCGATTGACTATTATCGAAAGGACCATAGACATCATTTCAGTGCGATACCTTTGGTAGATTCTGTGGAATTATTGAACAAGTTTTTTACGTGTTTCTGCGGCAGCAATTTATTGATAACCCTGACTCATTACTTGCTCGTTTCTGAAACCAAGGGGCTTAGTGATTTATTGAGCCATCATCACACGTTCGTATAATTCCCTAGTGCTTTGGGAGTCGTCAAATATAAGTATTAGAGCAGCATTATCATTGCTGCAGTTAAAATTATTCAAGATTATTCACAATGGCCGACGTAACTGACGCCACTGATGTTTTCGACTTGGAACTACATGAGGAGGAAAACCCACGCGATTCAGATGATGACAGGATCGAGTTGGACGATGTAAGTACACAATTTTAAAGTTAAAATATGTATGTACG